TTTTTTTTTTTTTTTTTTTCTTTGTTCTTTTTTTAAAGAATAAAATAACTAGAAAGGTATTATATATTTTCAACCTCCGAACAGACACTAGATAACATTGTATATGTCGATTTCTATCAACTAGAACATGTCTGGCAAAGCAGTTTTTGTAAGACATTTATTGGATATCCCTAAAGGGACAGTTTTTATAAGACATTTAGGCTTTAGCATTCCTAAATGATAAAATAAACGTAATGAACAAGACAGTCCAAAACAGGTATCATGTCATGCTGAACACAAGAACATCAAGTACCCCGCACTGGAGGACAAGTTCCCCATTCATGAGTACGAAGGAAATGGATTCCAAATAACATGCGATGCAAGGGGAAGGTTTCTTCTCTTGATAGCATATTTTAATAAATGGCTTGCAATCTGAGACTACACTGCTTTGTCTATGAGCATGCTACAATATTTTGGACATTCGCCTAGAACTAAAGTATGAGTTCAAATGTCCCTTCCAAGGTAAAAAAAAATGAAACTCCTAACACTTCTATGATCGTAAGGAATTTCTACTTTTTAACAAGAAAAATCAAGAAAGCAGCTTACCTGAGACTTGTTGATCTCAGAAAGTCTCCTCGAAGAAGCTGCATTATCAACTTGAGTATTCCACATGTCACCAGTAAAACAACATCGGAGATCCAGTGCACATTGCAAGATTTGATTAATGATACCAGCCACAGATAGTGTTTCTTCAGATAAGAAACATCTGTAAGGTTATACATAAGAAATGTTAGGAACTCAGTTCTACAACTAATTTGAGGAGATTCTATGCTTGAAAAATGAGTGAATATTTTTTTAAATCACTTCATTCAGTAAAAGCAACCTAGGAAGCACATAAGTTGCTCAAAGGCTTGAGGGTCAAGTTGAAGGTCGAACACACCTCTAAATCACTTGAACCAGTCAGAAACACCTTGGACACATGTCAACAAGCCCGTCTATACTGTTATTTTGGACCAATTAATTTCTTAGTCCTTTGAGTTTTCCAAAAGGATCTTATTTGATCCTCTTATATTTCAAGTAGCAGTTATTTATTTATTTGGTGAGAAACAATTGAAAGGCAAAAAAAGAAAAGTCTAGAGGGAAGGGGCTGAGACAGTTCTTATTATTTATTCGATGGGAACTGTTTCAATGGCAATGAAGGAATGCCAAAAGTGATGTGGCTAAACATTATCGACGGTACTCTAGTGTAGCTTTTGTTGAAATATAACATAGGGTGTTCAAGATCATTGATAGAAGAATTTTTTCAAAATAGTGCATGGTTTCCCTTTCATCCCAACTTTTCAGGGTTCAACAAACAATTTCTTTTTTCTTTTTACAAATCTAGACTTAATTTGATTTTGTACAACTGGGGAAATATTTTGTAACCTTTGTTGTCTAGAGCTTGGATTTCAACTCTTATCCTCACCTCTTTCAAGTTCCTACATTTTTCCAACCAAACATGTTTCTTCTTTTGGAAAAAAAAAATATACAGTTATTTCTTACCAAAAGTACAGAGTCAAGCATTCAAAAATAATCTTCTAGTTCCCCAAGATATTTCAAACTTTGAAATAGAATCTTACGTGTGAAATGCATCAGTTAAATAAGCCATATGCATTGACTCGAGATCCATCATATCTTTTGCCTACATAAAACAGAAGCATAATCAGACAGAAAAAACCAGTGTGTTTGAATGCATCAAACAAGGAAAATAATCAGTCTCCACTCTCTGGTCATGAATGATAAATAAAAACACTGATAACAACTTCAAAAGATCTCTCCCGTATTAATTGTTGAGATGGAGACTGCTTGGTCAAAAGTGCTCGAGATTTTTCTATATCAAAAGCAACACTATCTAGACTCTAGTATGGGATGCATTGGACAGTCAAGATATAAGATGTCTTAATACATGGAGAAATTAAGATGAAGAAAATTAAATTGACGTCGAGGAATACCTCAAAGCCGTTCGACAGAAAGTATCATGCATCAATGTAATTGTTGAAATTTGGCAGTTTGAAGTAATAAACCATTACAATGACGATTAAAATCTCATTCGTAATTCAGGTAGCTAAGACCAGTTTAGAACTTAAATTTAAAAACAGTTTCAAACAGTTTTTAGACGTAGCAATTTGTTTTACAGAATAATTAAAAATTTGGGAGCAAAAAATGGTCAATTGGAAACAATATTTCATTGTTTGCACGTATTTTCTAAATTTACTATTTACTAGGACAACCACTCCTCAAATCATAGATCGGATATCTATATAAACCACCAAACCATAAATTTAGACATGGTTTCAAAACTCCTCAAATCATAGATCGGATATCTATATAAACCACCAAACCATAAATTTAGACATGGTTTCAAAAACAAAAGCGAAGAGTTATTTTTCAGAATAACGCCTAAACAAGCACCCAAGAGACTCCAAACATAAAAACAAAAGCGAAGAGTTATTTTTCAGAATAACGCCTAAACAAGCACCCAAGAGACTCCAAACATGGAAACAATATTTCATTGTTTGCACGTATTTTCTAAATTTACTATTTACTAGGACAACCACTCCTCAAATCATAGATCGGATATCTATATAAACCACCAAACCATAAATTTAGACATGGTTTCAAAACTCCTCAAATCATAGATCGGATATCTATATAAACCACCAAACCATAAATTTAGACATGGTTTCAAAAACAAAAGCGAAGAGTTATTTTTCAGAATAACGCCTAAACAAGCACCCAAGAGACTCCAAACATAAAAACAAAAGCGAAGAGTTATTTTTCAGAATAACGCCTAAACAAGCACCCAAGAGACTCCAAACATGGAAACAATATTTCATTGTTTGCACGTATTTTCTAAATTTACTATTTACTAGGACAACCACTCCTCAAATCATAGATCGGATATCTATATAAACCACCAAACCATAAATTTAGACATGGTTTCAAAAACAAAAGCGAAGAGTTATTTTTCAGAATAACGCCTAAACAAGCACCCAAGAGACTCCAAACATCTCCTCATATTCTAACTCTGTCTCTCTCTCTCTCTCTCTCTCTCTCTCTCTCTATGTATATATGTGTGTGTATATATATATATATGTTCAATTATCTTAAAGTAAAGAATAAACACAAGAGAGTAACAAATTTGGACTGAAGATGGATAAAGAACACGTGAAGTCTTGGAAATAAATGAAAAGGGAGGGACACCCTTTTGATCGTTCACAAAAATATAGATATGTCCTTCAAAGAAAATAAAGTACATCGAACAACTCAATTACAAATCCTGAAGAGCAAGAAAAAGTGCCATACTCAACATAATATCTGACATTGATACATGGGATAAAACGTCCACTCATACCTTAAGTTGAAGAGATTGAAGAAATCTACACCAAGATAGATGTGATAATTGAGACTCCACATAATGCTGTAATACACATACAAAATGGCTGACTTCATGCCTGATCACAGAAGTGTGGAAGGAAAAAAAATAGTCAGAGGTACATATGAAACCACAAAAATAAAAATAAAAATTTAGTTTCTGGATGGAGTGAAAGAATGCCAACATTATGAGCAACACAAAAAAAGAGAAATTTGGGGCAATAAATCAGGAGTACCTAGTCTTCACCAAAACATTGAAATGCTGGATTTCCTGATTAATAGGTTTGGAGTGGCGATTCTGACTGATCAAGATACCCATGTCCTGTAAATCAAAGTTTGAAGCAAATTGCATAAGTTCCATTCATACTTCAAAGATGTTTAAGACACTTTTCAACTTCAACTGACTATTCATGCCAGCTGGACTAATATTATTCCCTAATGGAACGTCCTCTTATCTCCATCACTGCTGATGGAATTAAAAGCTGAATACTGGACTTTCAGTTGAAATGTTAAACCATCAGCTCTCTCCATCTAAGAGTTCTAGAAAGGGGAAAAAAATCATTCATATAACTTTGTTCGAGTCGATCTACTAATAAAAAAGAAGGGCTCACAGTAAGACAAGAGGAAACAAGAGCATGCACCTAAGATATCGATTTAAAAGGTTGAGGGAAAAATAGCTTAAGGAAGAATAATTTGATTTAGTTAAATTGAAAAGGGCATTTAAAAGTATAAACAGTTTTTTTCATAAAAGTCATAACATGTTCAAAATGAAATTTCGAGTATTGCCATTCACCCCCTTATCTGTTCTACACGCATCCAGAATTGCCCCCTCTGTATGCATTAAGGTCAAAAAGTTTAATGCTTGTTGTTTAATATCTCCTACGTTGCAACCAAAATCTTTTCTGGTTCTGACGCATATTTGTTTATCAGCTAACCCTTTAACGTATCGAATTAAAGGATATATCATGACCTTCAATGAGGACCAAACTTTGGTCAGAGAAAAAACAGCAAGCTTCACTTTAACATGAAAGCTGAAAATATCGGCATATATTTTCAATGCAGCAGGCGTCAAAATGATATTGATAGGCCACTCTACATGATATCCCAAACCTAGAAACTCAAATGAATCAATCCCTGCCATTTAGAAGAAGAAGCCATTAGGGGAAAATTATAAAAAATAATTCAAATATTAGTTTAAACCATCAAGTCCCAGATATTGAATTTAACTAAATTTGAGGACTATGAAACGGAAATAAAAGGAAGATATAATTTGAATGAATAAATAATACACCGATGGTTCCTTTGGAAAGAGGCAGAGTGCACTCTTCTTTGATGTAGACAAATAATCTATCCTTGTTGCGGTCATGTTCACACGATGACTTTTGAACAGACAATTCAAGATAACCTTGAATATCTTGAAGCTTACTATCTGCCTCTATGACACGCCACTTCTGTGCTTTCAAGGAGTCGCAGCAAATCAAAAAAGAATTTGATCAGCACTTTCAGTTCAGAAAAGATAACAAACTCAAAAAATTTGGCATGTATATATTACATGATTCCACAAAGATGTGATAAATGAATCTGCCCAGTCTGCTAGTTCCATAAAGTGATACCGCCGCAGTGCTAGAAGATGCTCTTGCAAATCAAATCCTTCATCTAGTAACTTTATAGTTAACTTGCTGACATATGTATATCTTTTTGCAAAGGTATAGGAATAACTATTACCCTTTATGACAAACATTCTCGGATGGATCGTTTAAGAGAAGCTTTGCAACTCACATAGACCTCAAGAAATAAACAACAACGAGTAAATGGAAAAGGAAATTTTTCTAGAAGCAAATAGTAGAACAATCAGTAGCATACACTAACCATATACACAAAATATTAGGATACAAGCAACGTGCAATGAAACTACAGCCATATTAATGTCTGATTTTCCAGCTTATAAGAAAAAACCGGCAAAATATTAGGAGAAACTGCAAATGCATTCTCAACAAAAGTAAAACATAAGTTACAGAGATGAGGTGTAATAAGATGCAATAAAGTACCAGATATAACCAAATAGACATCCAACATATTTGCATAAGGATACTGAAGGATTATTTCTTGCACTAAGCATTTGTGAATAACGTAATCAAGTGGCAACTCAAACAATCCTGAACAAGATAGCTTCTGCTCTTCAGCATTATTATCAACAGTTCTCTTGCTTGCTGTACAAAGTATAGTTTCCCAGCTCCTTCCACCAGAAACATTAGTTGAAATATTTTCTTTGTCATTGTAAGATATAGTATTGTCCACAAAAATATCCTCTCCACATCCTTGTTCACTAGAATCACTATTTTTATTATTGGAAGCAAGAGCTTGAGAGTTCCCACCACATAATGATTCAGCTCCAGAACTAGGCAGTATCTTTTCTGGGCATACCTTACACGGATCCTCTACGACAGAAAAATCAAAGAAAGGAAAAGATTGACCCAAGGCACTAGCATGCCTCTGATCAGGCTTGCTCATCTTAGGAAGGAAAACATTTCTTGTTACCATTGGATTCAAACTGAAAAACTTGCTAGAGTAATCAAGATTCTGTGGTTGTGCAAAAAACAAATTAGAAGCACGTGGAATATTATCAAGTTGATTGTTCAATGAGGCATCCTCTGCACCACTGGAATCACCAATCCTCTTCCTAGAAAGAGATAATTCTCCAATATGGACTCTAGAGTTTCTTCTGGTTTTCCTTAAATCAGAATCCAAGGAATGCATATCTGAATAACCAGTGCAGGTGACATCAGAATTCCACGACCAATTAGCCAAGTCAAAGAACAAAGATGTATCACTTGAATTTAAGGCATTTTTTTGCGATTGCACAACAAAATTTACATCATCTATCTTCGTAGAATTCCCATCCAAAACACTTCCTACATGAAATGGTCCTTCACAATCAGAAGCCTTCCTTAAAAAATTAATATTCAAATCATTCTTGGAGAAGCTTAAAGAAGAAAAATGATTTTCCTTTAGCACGCCCATGTTATTGTGAGGATCAATCTTTTGATCAAACTCAATTTCATCTTCACAGCTACTTGAAGATTTACATCCGGAGGAATCATACATCTCCATGGGTGAATTATACATGTCCACTGCAACATCAGCTGCATCTGATGAACTAATAGAGTCATCATGATCTGTGTTATCTTTTAACCTGAACCAGATAAATAAGAAAAAGTTGATAAATTAAAAATGAGGAAAATTAGTCAACAGCTTGAAAGATTAATAAAATGAGAAACACTGAACAAAAATGATTAAGCGACAGCCTCCACAGAGCCCTAAAATTAGAGCCAAAAAGCTCTGCATGTGTGCACATCGGAGCAAAAGCATCTAGATGCACAATCATTTTTCTTGATTGGAGCCTATTTTTGTTCTGGTTTAGCTCTTTTTGTTAGAAGTTTGTTTTTTGTATCCCTGTTGTATTCTTTCATTTTCATTTTATTCTCAATGAAAGTTTGGCACTATGCACTACATCAAAAAAAATTAATAATAAAAACAAAAAACAGAAAAGAATCTACATGCAACTTGCAAGGACTTGTGTACGTCTATACCATGCAATGGACACACGCACTCTTAGAAGGAACCGACAGTATATGATATTACATTTTTGAGCTCTTGTCCACTTCTGGAACAAATAGGCTATTTCCTGATTTAACTGACAAAGGTGCACTTATTCCTCCTCCAACATGAGGAAAGATCAGAGATACTGCATCACCTGGAACCATCTGTTAAAAAAAGATATTCACAAGACTGATATAAAAACACAATCAGAACAAATTGTAGGGCAGCAAAACATATGATATGTTGGTAGAAAGTATAACGAAGAAATTGGTGTAGGTTAGATATTTTGAAGTTTGTTTAACCTCGTGTTCCACAATCTACCGTGTTAAGAGATTTATGAATAATTTTCAGGGTAATAAGGCATGAAAATGAGGAAAATAAATACACAACCCTTAAGTTATACCATGAACTACCTAGCGGCTCCAACTGATGCAACAAAAACCATGCTTTCCTCAACTCAAAATTGAGTAATTTATACAATTTTTTTAATAACTGGGGAATCAGGAGACCACTCCTTACATCATGATGCTTGTTGCCCACCACTCACTAATCCTCCAAGATGCATATTACAGCATTCAGATTACCTGCTCATATCTGAACTCTATTTTTGTCAGAAGATTATCAAGTTTTTTCTGCATCCTTTCATAGTAAACGTCCCTTGCAGAAACCCTGGCCTCAACATTTTCTTTGCTGAAAGAGATTACAGATTCGTAGTACACATGATTACTAGAAAAGCCAGTCCAACAAGGAAGAAAATCATCGTAAGTACATTCTGCAGTGGCAACAGAAGTACCAAATTCAAGTAATTTCACTAGTACTTGAAGCTGCTGACCAGCTCTGAGAAGTGGAAGCAATAATTCCTTCATAAAACAAGGAACAGGGACTCCTTCTCTCTCCTACAGGGAATGATACAGAACAATGAACATCAAACTCAAATAAAGGAAACCACAATAGATGAGGAAACAAAACTGCTAACTGCTTCCAAATTAACAAAGAATAACAAATAATAAAACTACCCTTGTACATGCTAGTGGAAAACTGGAGATTCCAGCAGTATTGAGATTAGGAGTTTTAATGTCATCATATTCAACAACAAACTCTGCATAAGGGTCAACAACTTCGGCTTTGTATATCCATGATCTAATAAAGGCACAATATGGTTCACATGAGCGGAGGAACAGAAACTTGAGTACAGCGCAATGAGCAGGATCAGCAACCTAAGAAGGATAGCAAAAGTTGTTATGTTTATTACAGGAGTCATAAGAAGATATGACACAATATAAACAAATTACTTCTTTGATATGAGGCAACGAAGGTTCATAGAACAAAATTATAAGGGATAAGGTAAGAAATCCAATCACAGGAAAATGCAATATACCAATTAAGCATAGACATAAATATGCATATGAAGAAGCTTAAGTGACCACAAATTTTATGCATGCCCCCAAGTTGGTATCAACAGAAACGAGTGGCAATGTCCCAAAAATATCTTAACTTGTGCAAATGGATTCCCAAGAGATGGAGAAACGCTGAAACCCAGTTCTTCCAAATATTTGAGGCACAAATTGAAGCACCTTCACCATTTCATTAAAGTCAGATACCAATAAAAGATTCATCTACATTGCCTAAATAACAAACCAAGAAACCCCAAGGTTGCCAAAACTAAAAGAAAATTGCTTAAACCAAAGCATACGAAAGGACAATGTGTCAATAACCTATAACGATCACCAACCAAAATTCTGCAAACACAAACAATACAGTAGTATGCAAGAAGACAAGCAATTCCCTTCATTACAGTAATTCATATTAACCTTATCAGAAGCCATCAACCAAGTTTAAAAATTCATCTTGGAAGGCTCTTATCAATTTTAGACTACACAGACAACCTCCCCCAACTGCAACCCCAGTCGTTCTCTTCACACTACACATTTTGTTAAAGGATTCATTTTCTCTTGAAAATCCCCAGCACCTGAGCCCCCGGGAATGGGCTCCCAACCATCTAAACATGGAGGTCTAAGCATCCATGTGATTATTGAGAGTCTTCCTCCAGCAAACCAATGAAGCAATTTCCAACTATCTGATCATTTTTCACCACTCCCGTCCAAAAAAAAAATGGTTCTTCCCGAGGGCCGCCAGTGGCTGACAGGATAAGAAAATCAAGAAGCCATGATAACCTTTTCTTTCTTAATCCCTTTTCAGTTATCTCCTGATATAAAGATTATTCTTAACCTTGAAGTAACTTAATTAGTACCAGAAGAAATATTCATGCACAACAAATTATTAGGACTCAATGAGAGAAACACATTACAAGTCAGACAAGGAAGATATTTCAGTTTACCGCACCTGGAGTTGTGTGTACAAATATGTTAGCAAGTCTCCTCCCCAATAAAAGTTACAAAATTCAGAGGTCGCCTTATCAATGAGGTCTTGAAATGGTAACGATGAGAAGCCATTAGCTACATTTTGCAATTTACATATGTTTCCAAGTACTTCAATCTGAATTCTCAATTCCCTTGTATGAAGGTACACCTCTAATAATGTTATGTCAGAATGCACCGCGCTCATAAGACATCCTTCCACTGATGATCCGTGAAAAGACGCATCGAACTCTTTTGGCGTTCTTCTCAAACCTACTGAGGCATGCAACGAATCTAATGCACACGTATAGCCTTCCAAAATCTTTCTCAGTGCAACTGCAAATGCCTGATTAACAAGACTCTTTCGGGAGCATTCTTTCCCTCTCACATCACTGCCATCGTTACTTCTGCATTTTTCGACCTTACGTAGATAACTCTTATGATTAAACGCTTCATCCATACCCAATTCAGTAAAGTGGTCTACGAATTTATGAAGAAGGAAAACTAAAAACCCAACGCAGCCAATCAACCTGAGTATCTTTCCCAAAGCGTGCGTACTTGAAATGCGATTCCATAGAGATGGAATTTGATGGAATGTCCTGTCGGAAGGATCAGAACAAAAGGCAGCAGATAACTTTTCCACGCTGATAAGTGCTGACTCCAACCCTTGCAGTGCGTTCATCGCCAATCTAACCAAGCTTGCCTCCTGAAACAAAAATTCGTCGTTTCAATTGTTTTAGAACCAAAGATATCTCATTCTTCAAAGATCAACGCTTAAGCAAATTGATCCTCGAATGCTACAATATGCAGATGTACCAACAGAATGACAATGCGGAACCTTAAGAATACAACAAGTAAAATCGATAAAAGTGAGAAGAACTAGCAGATTGTAATTCTAAAAAACGAGGGATAAATGTAAAGAACAGGAACAAGAGAACTTACGGAGACTGAAGAGGAAGAGACGCCATTACTACTACGAGAAGGGAGCTGAGATTGTTGGGTTTGTGAAGGGATGGATTCCCAAGTTCTAGGAGGAAGCCATGGATCTTCCACCTTCAAACTCTCAAGCATAGATTGGAAATTCAAATTGGTGTCGACCGCCATAGTCTCTACTTCAATGCTAAAATACCGCCATTAATTCGATCATTTCAGAACTGCTTCGTGGGAACAAAGGGAAGCTACTGAGTAGAATCCATGGCAGAAATTAGCAAACCACTGCAAGCTGTTTGGATTCAAGGGTGAAGCGCGACCTCCCTCCCCTCCCTCCAAATTTTTCGAGTTATTTTCACAAATAGCCCTTTTTACTTTATTAATATAAAAATAACCTCCTTTTAGTAATTTTGATAATTTTGAGTTTTGACACCTCAAATGACTAACATACCCTTTGCCTCCGCCGCTTTTAGTAGATATTCGCGGCTTAAAGAATATGTTGAGTTTATTTAATATGGGTAAATTGGACATTTCGATACCCAGTTAATTGATCACAGAACTAATATTGTCTTATTATTGAAAAATAATTTTTTTACATTTTAAATAATATTTAAAAAACCAAAATTAAAAAATTAAAGAAAACAAAATACATATCATATGATACGAAAATTGGACAAAATACCCATATAAATAATTATAGACGTCAATCTAACCTAAATTGAAAATAGGTGTTTATGACTAGAACGCTTGTATAGATTCAAATCGGGAAAACCTGACTTTTTAGTCAAAAATATATGTCAATTGCCACTGAACTAAGCCCGACTCTAACTGTAATCTTCATTGCTAAATATTTATAAACTAAAAAAATCCTAAATTGAGTCGTACTTATATGTCAACCTATATATTAATCGAATATACATGTCAATTATCACCGAGCTAAGCTCGGTTTGACTCAAATCTTCATTCCTACATGTTTCTAAACTAAAAAAACTAAAATTTCGTCATACCTATATGTCAACCTAGACATTAGATTTGCGTCAATTTTTTAGTTCAACAATATTTAAGGTAAAAATAATCAAACATCGGACTTTTAATAAAAGATATCATGCCGATTATCACGGGGGACATCCAATAAAATTGGAACGATACAAAGTAGATTAGCATAGCCTCTGCGCAAGGATGACATGCACAAATCGAGAAGATGTCTCTATCTTGCTCATGTCTCAACTTGTCTTCAATACCCACATTCGCGTGGTAGTGTGTTGGATAATGCATCGTCCTCCTCAATCGCATCATGACACTTTCTATATTAGCCTATATGTGGCCAAATAGACGTCTCTTGAGGGATGTCGCTTTGCCTGTCATGATGTGAGGGTCACAACCTACTCTTTTCATAGTATGGTTGTGACATTCTCTCCCACTTAACTTAGTCATCGTCCTCGATGACTTACTCGGGGCACAATTGTATTGAGTTAACTTTGATTAGACACAAATCTCAAAAAAAAAAAAAAACCCTAAATTGAGGCGTACATATATGTCAAACGAGACATTAGATCTGTTAACCAAAGGTTCGTGCTTTCATTTTCAACATGTGATCTCGTAGTTAAAAACACGTCGGCTATCACCCAGCTAAGCTCGATTTGACTCGAGAACCATTTGAGAATCAAAGGGAATCTTTGTAGTTATAAATATACAATTAAAGGAAGATTCAAAGCTTAATGGCGAATTAATAAACAAAAAGATGCCCATCTTAGGTTATTATATTCCATTGAATGTTACTTGAGATTAGAAAACAAGGCATATACACCAAGGAAGCTAAAGAACCTTGAGCTCCCCCCACACCAAGAAATATGTTGAAGCCCTTTTTGATGCTCATAAGCAACCTCTCGTTGCATCCTCCTCTCTCTATAAAGCCTAAACTAAACCCTAACCCTTTCTTCCACTTCCATTCAGCTAACGTATTGATCCAATTTGAAACCAAATGGCTCCCAAAAACCAGCCCACTTATGAAGATTTTGAACCTCTGGTTGAAGCTTCTGAAGAAGATGGCTGCAGCATTCTCTCCCTACACGTTCCTGGTTTGTCCTTTTCTTTAACGATAACGGGTTGTCTCATATGGAGAAACTATGGTTCGGTTAGATAGCTATTTGGTTCTTAATTTAGGGTTTGAGAATGTAGCTCGTGAACTGTGAGATCTCATGTTGGTTGGAGAAGGGAACGATGTATTCTTTATAAAGATATGTAAACCTCTCCCTAACAGACACGTTTTAAAACCACGAGGCTGATAGTCATATTGTCCGCTTTGTCCTGTTAAGTATCGTCATCAGTCTTATGATTTTAAAACGTGCGTCTGTTTGGGAAAGGTCTTCACACCTTTATAAAGAATACATCGTTCCCCTCTCCAACCGATGTGGGATTTTTGTAAAGGTATAGAAATCTCTTTCTATCAAATGCGTTTTAAAATCGTGAGGCTGACAGTGATATTGTCCGCTTTGGCCCGTTACGTGTCGCCGTTAGCCTCACAGTTTTAAAACGTGTTTGCTAAGGAGAGGTTTCTACACCCTTATAAAGAATATATCGTTCCCATCTCCAACCGATGTGAGATCTTTAGAAAGGTGTAGAAACTTTTCCCTAGTAGACACGTTTTAAAATCGGTGAAGCCCACAACAGTATTGTTTGCTTTGGCCTGTTACGTATCGCCGTCAGCCTCATGGTTTTAAAAGTGTTTTAAAAACGATGAGGGCGACAGTGATATTGTTCGCTTTGGCCTGTTACGTATCGTCATCAACCTCATGATTTTAAAACGTGTTTGCTAACGAGAAGTTTCCACACCCTTATAAGGAATACATCGTTCCCCTCTCCAACTGACGTGGAATCTTTATAAGGGTGTAGAAACCTCTCCCTAGTGGACGCATTTTAAAATCGTGAGGCTGACGATGATATTGTCAGCTTTGGCTCGTTACATATAGTCGTTAACGTCACGGTTTTAAAACGCGTATGTTAGGTAGAAGTTTCCACACCCTTAATGTTTCGTTTCTCTCTTCAACCAACGTGGGATTTGACATTAGCATTTTCAAGATATAAATTGAGTTTTATAAACTAAAGCAGACAATATCTAGTAGTAGCTTAGTTCTCTTATTCTGCACTGCTACAGGTTTCCGCAGAGAGCAAATTCGGGTTCAAGTATCCTCCACAAGAAAGCTGAGGATCTCCGGCGAGCGGCCTTACCAGAACAAGACATGGCAGCGTTTCCACAAGGAGTTTGAAATCCCATCAAACTGCACCACCTCTAATATTACAGCCAAGTACAAGGACGGCATCCTTCATGTCCGTCAGCCATTGCAGCCACAGGACGTGTCGGAGCCGCCACGCACGGCAGCTCCCAACCCACCGCCACCACAGCAGCAGCAGCAAAATGGCCAGCAACAAGCTGAGGAACCAGAGAAGAAGAGCAGCCCAGCCGCCAATGGAAAAGCGGAAGCCAAAAGCAATAGAGAAAGAGAAGGAAGTACTTGCAATGGTGACAAGATCAGTGGTCGAGCTGGGCGGCTGAAGGAGGTGGCTCCTGGATTGTTGGGGAAGTTTATTTTGCCTGTTTTGGCGGCTGTGTTGCTTTTCCTGTTGGCTAAGAGGCTGGATCAGAACATGGCTGGTGGAGCCGGAGAATCTCGGCTGTGAATCGTGTAATAATGGTGGCTGGTTTTGAAAATTTCCACAATAAATAATAAATTGTTAATCTTTACTATAATTTTATTATATCGTTGAAAACATTTACTTTTTTTAAATTATGTCGAAAAAATTAAATATATAAAATAAAGGCAAAATTCATAGCAAAATCACAAAAGTAGGAATGTTCTCTGAGTTAAATTGAAACATTTTTTTTATGACTTTTATTAAATAATGAATAAAATTGGATTCTTTTTTTTTAGTAATTTATTTTAAACTTTTATTTATAATGAAAAGTAAAATATTTAAAAGAAATTTATTTATTTATTTATTTATTTTCAAACTTTAAATTACGATTAATAAATTAATTTAACACATATATATTTTTTAAAAAGTTTTTTGTAATTATAAAATTTTGTTTTGAAGAACATCAAAAAATTGAAGAAAAAAAAACAAATAATGAAAAAACAATTATAGAATTAAATAAAATTACTATTATTATTATTATATATATATTTTATTATAAACTAGTTTAAAATTTTAAAATCTAACCGTAGTAAGGACAACGGTGAAAATTAGACTGATATATATATGTTATATATATATAACCATGTAAAAGTACCAAATGGGCCTCACGGAACTCCAAAAAGTTCGCATCATTATCGAGGGTATTTTCGATAATAGTAGTCATTCCCAGGAATACGAGGTGGGTGGAAATTATAAATACCCGAAAGGCGTTAGGGTTGCGCATTATACTCTTCTTCCGCCCCCAATATATTGCTCTCTCTCTCTCTCCCTCTGTTTCTTGCCCTTAGCGTTTTGCGGAAGCTTTGGTTTCTCGAACGCTACCTCAATGCTGCATTGTTCTCACTGTCTCATACACTGCGAAGCCGATCGCTTCGATGACTTCGTGTGAGAATCCTCCTCGATCTTCTTCGCTTTTCTGTCCTGCTGTGTTTATATGCATATACTCTTCGTTGTTGTTCGCGTTGCTTTTTGTTTGTTTGTCCTAATTTATTGTTCCGATTGCTACTCCTTTTATTCTGCTCATTCGATCCAGTAATTCGACCTTTTTTGTTGTTGATTCTTTTCGCTAGAATTTGATTTCTGTGTTTTTTTGTCTCTCGGTTGAAATCGATTCGTTGTTTCTTATGGTTTTAGCACCGATTGGCAGATGTTGTTCGGGCTGCGGTAAGGTGCTTGGCCAGTTCTTTGGAGGAAAATACATTGATCATAGCAAACCTATGCTCGGAAAGGACACGAAATTGAAGAAGAGGAAAACCGAGAAGAAGCAGAAACATGAGAAGATTGAAATGGATTCCGCGGATCTGCAACTCGCAACATGATTTTTTTCACGGCAGTTTTGACTAATAACGACTTAAAACTCAACAATTATTTGAATCATCACCAAATTTTTTCTAAAGGAACTATTATTCTGAGACATTGATCCTCCGACGTTTTCGAGTTCCAGTTTGTTGCCCTATTTTGTTCGCAATCAATAATGGCTCTCTCCTGGTAATTGGAATAAGTTCTTTACAATAATTCATATTCATAATATTTATCAAAACTCAATTGAACTTTGATTAGAATAAAAATCAACGACTCACTTACTGAACCATTTCTCTCCCTCCAATGGAAGCAGAAGCAAAATCAAAAGCAGAGAGGAATTTTTTTTTTGTTGTTAGTGAAAACAAGCCGATACAAAACCTCATAAATGTAAAGCAAAATAAAATTAAAAGGTTGAGCAGGCGCATCAATTCCTTCCCATTCATTAGTTGCAAATGTAATGATTTTAGTTTTTTTTTTTTTTTTAACAAAAAAAAAACGTACTCTCTTTCTTTATTAAATGTATGGTAATTTCTTACAACAACACGCAAATTAATTAGAAAATAATTACTATTTCAGTCAACTATTAAATATAGGCTATAGGCGTGGTGGAAGATTTTTGTCTAGCAAAAGGAAAATTTTAGGTTTATTTTGTTCAGATGAGTGGATAAATATGAAAAAAAAAATGAAAATTATAAATATTATTTTTAAAAGTTTATAAATATTTTTTAATTGTGATACGGTGTGTATTTATATTTTATAAATTAATGGTATTTTTGTATTTAAAAAAGAAAATATTAAACGTATTTTTCGAGATAAAATATAAAATTTAGAGACTTTAATATTCTTAAAAAATGAAAATTATGGTTGCGAGATAAAAGCGAACGTGGATTATCCGCAGAATGCATTAAATGTTGTCCACAGACACGATGATGATCACGGTCACGATCACTCAGCCGAACACTGAAGAGCAAGCCTCCTGCAATCGTTGCAGAATTCTCGCAGCCTGCCATGGAGTTCACAGTCCATTCCATTTCCCGCCCCAACCTCCCTCTCCCTCTTTCCTTCTCCACTTATTCATCTTCCCCTTCCAATTCCCTAACTCCATACCCACACACAAGAACCAAAGCAACTGCCTCCATCCTTCCGCCATTGTTGCTGCGTTCTGATCTCAATCTCACCTTCAAATCAAGGAGACGATCACTTCTTCAACCTCTACGAGCTTCCCAGTCTGAATTCGAGCCTCGATCTTCTTCTGTCCGCTGGCTTCTCGTTCCCGTTGGTCAGCGCATTCTGAATCTCTACCATTGTGTTCTGTTCGATTGTATCTTATATTTGATTTGAAGATTTCGTGATTTCTTCACAGGCGATGGCGATTGGAAGCATATCGGTTCCAAAGTTGAAATGCCTGATGCGTTTGAAATCGTCTCGGTCAGTACTTTTCATTGAGGCTCTTCAGCCCTTGCGAGTCTCTATTGTGTGATATTCGAGCTCGTTTTAACTCTTTTTGGCTGTCGAAACTCATCTTAATGCAGAATGAGGTCACTGTTGGGCGCCTTCCTGAGAAAGCTGACATTGCAATTCCAGTTGCTACAGGTGAGTTTACTCCGAATATCTGTTGCTACTTGTTTGATTTGATGCTTTCAATTCAATTCATACAGATCTGACAGTTTCAAGTTTTCCTTTGAGTTTTTGGAATGTAGAACTTGTGGATTGTATTGTGCCACTAACTTCACTGCGATTTTCTGAAATGAAAACAGTTTCTGCTGTACATGCTCGCATCAAAAAGCAAGAAGACAGGCTTTTAGTCATAGATCTAGACAGCACAAATGGAACTTTTATTGATGATAAGAGACTCAAGCCTGGAGTTGTTGCTGCTGTATCATCTGGGAATTGCATTTCTTTTGGTAACTTGCCCCCTCAAACTCAATCCAAATTTAATTGTTAGTCTGGTTGGATCACCTCACACTTTTTTAGAACAGATTTCATATTTCTCAAGTAAACATTTAAGTTCTTAACTTCAACCGTGAAAACATCACTGAAAATATATATGAAAACAAAGAAATTCATAGGTTGAATTAGTGTTTATAAGTTTAAATTGCAAAACCAAATGATCATGAGACTCAAAAATTTCTTCAAGGGAAAGGATCCCATTTGCTGTTTTTCAGTTTTGGTTTGGTGAATGCATTTGGTTATGGTTATTGGACCATTCAATTCATTGCAGAGTATTTGAGATAGTTATTCAATATTGAATTTGTAACCGCTCAAATCCACCACTAGTAGATATTGTCCGTTTTAGTTCATTGCGTGTAGTCGAGCCTCACGGTTTTAAAACGCCTTTGTTAGGGAGAGGTTTCCACACTCTTTCTCCCAACCAACGTGGGATGTCATAGAATTGGACTCAAAATTCATTATAATCGCTACTCAAATCTATCCTAGCACTTGACTCATCCTCTTTGTAAGGCTAAACAAGAGAACCTCTTAGAAAATACTGTGACTTGTGTCTGTACATTATTATTGGCTTGAATTCATGAATTGGGTCTATACATTGAGCTTCTGTATTTTGTTTTGTGGTACAACTCGACTTGCATAGTGTAAATAACTTCAAAATTTTACATCATTTACTTGGCGGTCAGCTTTGTTGGATAATGAAAGTCACACATCGGTTAATTTAGGGAATGATGATGGGTTTATAAGTGAAGAATACTAACTCCATTGGTATGAGGCCTTTTGGAGAAGCCTAGAGCAAAGTCATGAGAGCTTACGCTCAAAGTGGACAATATCATACTATTGTGGAAAGTCGTGTTCATCTAACATGGTATCCGAGCCATCCCTTAAACTTGTCGTGCCAATAGATTGGTAAATCCTCAAATGTCGAATAAAGGATTCCAAAAGAAAAGGAGTCGAGCCTCCTCGAAGGCATACTAAAAATAACTAAAACTCCAAAAGAAAAAGAAGTCGAGCCTCAATTAAGGGGAGGCGTACTTTGTTCGAGAGGAAGCGTACTTTGTTTTGAGTCCAATTTAGGGAATGATAATGGGTTTATAAGTGAGGAATACTAACTCCATTGGAATGAGGCCTTTTGGGGAAGCCCAAAGCAAAGCCATGAGAGCTTATACTCAAAGTGGACAATATCATACCATTATAGAGAGTCGTGTTCATCTAACAAGCTTAATTGATTAACTTTGGGATATCTCTTTTGTTGACAGGGGACATCCATCTAGCCATGTTTCAGGTGTCAAAGTTAAAGACTGATAAAGCCGCTAGCAAAATCCAAGAATCTGAGGACTCAATCGGTAACTCTGAAACAAGTTGAAAAAATGGTACATTTACACGTCTTCTAAGAGCAAATATGTGCAAAATTCTGCACATTCTGTATCGTAACAGTAATCTTTGCATGCAATTTTTCATATGAGTTGAAGAATATTGAAGAGCCAACTAGTCATCTGATCTCACTATTTGTTTTTTTAAGGCCATTTTAGAATACATCCATTTGATCCAAGCTATACTATCTAACCCTTTAAAAGGGTCAGATATGATAGAGCCTCCTCTTAAGATTCAAGTCAGGATTTAGAGTTTGGCCCCTACATCTTTCATCTTTATAACATAATCACACGTTAACAACTTGATTTTAACTAATTTTAAGAGTCAAAGCTATCCCTACAAATCAATATTCGGGTTTTTTTAGTATATTTTATTCTCACTCATATGCTTCATACTAAAATTCTTAAGAAGTTATCCAACATAGAATTTCTTAAGCTACACATGCTTGACTTTAGACTTACAATGATTGAGTTATCCCTACAAATCAATACTCGAGTTCGTTTAGTATATTTTGTTCTCTATCATATGCTTCATACAAGAATTCTTAGTTACCAAATATAGAATTTCTTAAGCTACACATGCTTGACTTTAGACTTACAATGATTGAGTTATCCCTACAAATCAATACTCGGGTTCTTTTAATATAATTTGTTCTCACTCAGAATTTCTTAACCTACACATGTTTGACTTTAGACTTGCAATAATTGAGTTATCCAAGTCTAATAATTGAGTTACACATGCTTGACTTTAGACTTGCAATAATTGAGTTATCCAAGTCTAATAATTGAGTTATCCAAAAAGAATGTGTACTTTATTGGTTTAGTTAATAATTATCATTTTTTTTTTTTTGTAATCTTTTTTGACCAAAATTTCATATGTTTAGTATCACTCTTATTCGAGTACGATCTCTGTAATTTTTTTTGAGTGAATCGAGAGCGGTGGAAGGAATCGAGCACGTAGCGGCGTAGCAGGGGTATGAACTGTGCAATATCAATGTTTTTCTGAAGTCAGGGCGAGATTTGAAGGGAACATGATTTTCATACCAATGACATAGCGATGGATGAGATGAGCGTGCTACCTGTTTTTGCTCTGTTCATACGAGTGAAATTGAAGTTTATTCGAGTTAAATTACATGGAAAATTGAATCTGAATCTGCAGTCATTTCACCAAGTCTCCAATGGTGGACGGACGGCAGAAGCTGGAGAATGGCTGATCGCGCCAAGCAGAATTCGCAAGCAACGAATTCACAGCCCCCGTCGGATTGTACAGATCCCACCACACATGCCTCCGGACTCGGCCGCACGCAATCTCCTTCGCCACACATCCTATGCTCGCATTGTATGATCCAAGTCCACAACACGCACTCCTCGACTCCTCAAATCCTAAAAATTCATCATCTCAAATCAAATCTCGTTGTTCTTTACCCAAATCCACACAAATCTCAGAATCGAGTAATCCATACCGTATCGCCTCGGGTTGCCAATAATCTCCATCATTCCTTTGTACGCGTCGCAGAAAACCATTCGAGCATCACCAAGCTGTTCGTTCAGCATCACGATCTGCTTCTCCATCAGTTCATTGTAATTCACAACCAACTCATTCATCTCTTTCACACATCCTTTCTCGTCATATACGGCCGCAGGGGAATCACGCCATTGAGATAGAACTCGAGGAGTACATCCCAATGGCAGTATTCCCATGCATACGATCTTCTTCGCCCCTGCTTCGTGGAGATTTCGTATAGCGACCGACATTTGTGAGGCCAGCAGCTGAGGAAATTTCAAGTTGTTTTTGCCTCTGGATGAGTCGAGAATAAAATCGACCTCGCCAAATGAGAAGTAGAAGAGGGAAGATTGGATGAAATGGCGAGCAGTGTCTAGTCCGAGTTGTAGGCGCAAGAGCTGCAGGGTGTCGAGTACTTGGCGTAGCTGTTGGTTGAGAGATTGATGGCTTTGGCCGCCGCTCACGATCGTTGCCTGTGGCGACCCAAAGCTGAGGCCATTTAGGATCGCCTCAATGGAACCATTCTGATTGTACCAAGGTTGGGAGTGAGGAACGCCCATCTCCTCAGCTGCAAGAATAAGGTACATTTTACATAATGTTTTATTAAAAGTAAAAGAGTAACTTCCCTCTCGTGGAAGGTTTCTACACCCTTACAAATGGTGTTTTTGTTCTCTTCGGGACATCACAATCCACCTCATTCGAGGCCCAGCCTCTTCGCTGGCACTCGTTCCTTTCTCCAATCGATGTGGGACCGCCACTAAATCCACCCCTTTGAGGCTAGTGTCCTTACGGGCACACCGTTTCGTATCTATCCCATTTGGGGAACATCGAGAAGGTTGGCACGAAATCCATCCCAATGGGGCAAGTGTCCTTATTGGCACATTATCTCGTGTCTACCCCCTTTGGGGAACAGCGAGAAGGCTGACACATTATCCGGTGTCTGGCTCTTATACCATTTGTAACAACCCTTTCGTGTTCTCCTCAAAACTTTAAAACGGGAAGATTTTCACACCCTTATAGATAGTATTTTGTTCTTTCTCCAACCAACTTGGGACATCACAATTGTTTGTTCTTTCTCCAACCAACTTGGGACATCACAATTGTAATACTATCAATAGATATTGGACTTTTCTTCGGGTCTGTTAGGTAGAAGTTTTCTCACCCTTTCAAAAAAGGTTTTGTTCTCCTCTCTAATCAATATAGGATCTTATAACTTTATAGATTATTAAATATTTCAAAATCGATTTTTGAGAGAGTTGGAAACATAATTCAAAGAGTGAATAGGCAAGCAAGAGGGAGGGTACTAACCAAGAAGATGAGGAAGAAGGGTGGTGCCATCGGAGTCGCAAGGAATGATGGAGAAATTGCGATGAAGAAGAGGGTAAAACAGAGCGTTTAAGCCGCAATCCACAGAAGAATCTCCCAACAAGTACATGGCTGTAATGCTGGATCCCTGAGCTGCAAGACTTAGCCCCAACAGACCAATCAATGTCACATAAGCAGTGAAGAACAAAGACTTGAATAGGGCTGCGCTTCTGATGAGCTCCATGGCCACACCTAAAGTCATATGATCGAACCCGAGATCGAGTTTCTTTGTAATTCTACAGCTACGAGTAATCTACATGTAATTCTTCAAAAAAACAATGATAGGATAGGGGTTGGTGTTTAGGTAGGAATTGGATGGGAAATGCATTTTGTTCTTTTCTCCATACTTATATTCCATCTAAATTGATGATTTATATTTAATCCCAAACTATATGTTTTTTACCCTCGTAAAAGGAATGTTTGAGAGTAATTATAGAAATAGTGATTTTTTATTTATTAAAAATTATTTTCATACCATTTTATTATTAAAATATTGACTTTAGTGATTTTCGATGATTAAAGTATATGTTTGGGAGTGACTTTACAAACCGTGCTTTAAGCTAAGTGATTTAATTATAATTTGTTTTGTAACGTCTATATCATATGCAAATAAATAAAGCAATATGGTCAAGTCAAACTATAATTCGAAGACGCTCGTAAGAAAACTCACCCCTTCTCCGCCTCATGTTTTTATGGAAAAAGTAACTTCAACCTATAAACTTATTTATTTCGAGCTCTATTCATGAACACCTCTACTTCCTAAGCCATCGTTCGTCTACGAATGGTAACAGATGCAAATCCATCCAAGTTCATGCAAATATAATTGAAGTTGATAACCATGACTATCTCTAAGGTCTAGCTAGAATCAGTCACTTTCTCAAGCTAACAACAAATTATGGTGTTTTCTAGTACCTACGTCTAACAACAAATTATGATGCTGTAAAAATAACCAGCACCATCCAAAAAACTTACACATGCATGCATACTCCAAGCCTGAAATCAGATTATTTGAGCAAAGATTCTTCGAGCTTTCGTCTTTTTGAGGTTTTCTATAACGTCTACGACATGTAAATAAAGCAACATGGACGAGCCGAAGGTACAACGAAAGCTTATCGAAAGGGAATCGAAGAATCAGCAATTAGCCAGTGTTTGAAATTGAGATAATTATGGACTGCAAATTCAAGTTGATGACATAGATAACCAAATGATTCTATCACCTAAGCTTTGAGCTTCCCGCTCACCCCACGTTTGTTGTGCCAAACACTAACATTATCGCTGTTCATCGGTGTTTTCTTTGCTGCAACCGAGCACCGATCACTCCGACCACCACCACCACCACCTTTTGTGTTCATTTCTATTTGAAGCCTACGGCGTCTCATTCTATTCTCTAACCTAATCCCTCTTAGTGCACGAGCCCTCCGTTCGGTTTCCAGAGCCTGCGAGAAGTTCCAGATCCTCACAACACCTTCCTCTCCGCCACAAACTATACGATCCAAACCAATGTCCACACCAAACAAATTGCTCCCAAATCCATGCAACATTCTCTGAGGAGGCTCCACACCAATACTCCTACCAACATGCTGCCCCGCAGAATCTCTCTTCCACAGAGTTCGTTTCCTTGTCCTAAGCAGTGCTCTCACATCGATCAACGATAGTTTCCCATCACTTGACGCCGAAACCAGCCATGGAAACTCAAATGCTAGAGAATAAACTGGTCCTGAATGAGGAATCCACGATCCAACAAGTTGAGCGCTTGTATCAACATGTCGATTAGTAACGTCAAACATGTGAATTGCACCGTCTTCCCCTCCAGTAAATAGGAAATCCCCTGTATGGCTTCGTGCCAGGGCATAAGCCTTGCCAACATGAGCATCATGAATGACACTAGCCAACTCCCCACTGTTAGTATCCCAGACATATACATCTGAGCCTGATGTGCTAGCAATAGTAGTATCATGAGGGACTAGTCCCCAAACCCAGTCACCATGCCTCAAAATCCTTAAGCACTTCTGTGAAAAACGATCCCATACTCGAACAGTCATGTCCCAAGAACCACTATAAATCCTTGTTAGGTCCAGAGCAAGTGTGGTTATGGGTCCTTCATGCTCCCAAAGCCGAAACTCGGTATTGTGATTTTGAGGGCCTTTCACATCGAACAAGTGTGGAAGCCCTTCTATCGCCTTCCAACAATGGATAAAACCATCGGTGCCTCCAGCAACCAGTAGTTTTGTATCGGCCGCAAGTGCACGAACGGTACAACCGAGCGATCGTGATGAAGCAATGGACAATCCTTCTTCCAAGTCCCAGATTCTCACAATTGAGTCATATCCAGAAGTAAATATAAGTTTTGCAGAAACCAGAAGAAAAATTGTACGAACTGCTTCAGTATGACCATGCAAAACCTCCATACTGTATCGTCCCATAAAAGTTTTACTCCTAAACTCCCTCTCCACAAAAATATCTTTCCATGACTTCTCATCAGAAAATCCAGTAGCAGCCACCGGTGCCGGTATAGCTGGAATTGGAAGTCCCCATCTTTCATTGTAGAATTCCTTCCATACATGGTGCTCAGATGCTAGCCTATGAAGAATCGTCGACACACAAGATACAATGCCAAGCTCCTTCGGATCAAGGCAGTTCAGAATCTCAGATATAATTGCAGGAGGAAGGTCGGTAATTGACCGACAACCCAAGGGAACATTTCTACAGCCTAACTGCTTCGAACTGAGTGAAGTAGTATCTCCCTTCTCCAAGTCAAATTCCGATTTCTCAGATTCAATTCCCACTGATTTCCCTTTGAGCTTGAAATAACTCGATCCACCCGTTGGTTTCTCACAAGAATTTTTCACAATAACTCTTGAATCCTTATAAAACCCGGCAGACTTCTGGCATTCAAATGCCATAAAATAAATCCAACCCTAAGACTAGAAAAAACGAATAGAACTTGAAAATTCAAGCACGATGATTCCAGCAGCTATAGATCCCAAATTCCAAAAAAAAATTCAAACCCAAAATCGAGAACCAAGAAAAAAAAAAAACCCTAAAAAAATAAAAAGACCCTACGAGCGAACCTGAAACGCCGAACGAAGAAGAAATGGGAGGAAACCAACAAGGATCAAGCAGCAAAAAATAAAGAGAGACAAAATTGGTAGAGGAATTGAAGCAAATAGAACCTAGAGAAGATCCTAATTCAAAAAATTAAAAAAAAAAAAAAAAATCCCAAAACCAGGGTTACACGAAATCGAAGAGCATCGGTTAGAGAGATTGGGCATAAACAATACCTGGAAGATAAAAGATGCAGCAGATGATCCTTGTTGGAGGAAGAAAAGAGGGAATTGAGATTACTTAGAGATCTAGGGATTTGCAGAGGGGAATGACGAAGGGGAGGAGAGAGAGATAGTGTTCTAGAGAGAGAAAATGAAAAACATTAAACAAACAAGGAACGTACACCGCTGAAGAGAATAGAGAGATTTGCCCGAAACAGAGTCCGATATGAGATAACGTGCGGTTACCCTTACCGGTCGATCTTAGGTTTTCCCACGAAATTCATTGTAAATTAATTATTTCAATAATAATTATATTTTATTTTCTGATTTAATCAAATTTAATAAATACATTTCGTAAAATACTAAAAATATATTCTATTATTGAGAATTAAAATATTTTTTTTGCGAATATAATTTTTAGAAAATTTTTATATTTTATTTAACCTATAATTTTAAATTAACCTTTTCAAAACTTAATAATAAATAAATTGTGGGCTTTTAAATTTGTTATAATTATAGTGAATATTAAAAAGTAATTAGTTGGGTGTGTATTTTAAATTTTGTGCGTAATAGATAGTAATTTATTTATTATTTTTAAGGGTAAAATAAAAACTCTCCAAGTTTAAAATTAAATATGAGAAATTAAATTAGTTGACTGGTCATGGCTTCGGTCAGTTGGCAAACTTTTAAATGAAGTGCAATTTTTTTTATCACGTGGATTTTTTTTAATGAAAATTTGTGATGAGTTGGTTAATTAAAAAATAAAAAAAAATAAAATAAAAAATATTAAATTTTCAATTATGACGTGTAAATTAATTGGTGTTGATTAATTTTTATTTTATTTTAATAGAGTAATGTTAGGCATGACAAAATTTAACCCTTTTTTAATTATTAAAATCAACAAAAAAAATAAATCAATAAAATATCCGACAAATTGAGCCATCATTTTTCTGTAATAAGGTGAACTTCTGTTTTGAATATCTAATCTTTTAATCAGACAAGCCTTATATTATATTATTTTGACGAAAACAAGGTTTCAAACCTTAAACACCCCAAAATTAAAACGACGATAAGATTTGTTTAGAGAAGACGAAATGTAGCTTGCAAAATAAGATAAATTTGTCCACAAAAATAGTGCTCTTTATATAGGTTACGAGCACGAGTTAGTTATGTTAGCTCGACAATGATTATACAATATATGTCTGAATTTTTGTCGACCTTTTATGAATAACGTAAAAAGAGAATCATACTGGACTATAATAGGATCGCCGCCATATTGAGTATTAAAGTTGTAAAGATATAATTTAATAAATGGTAGATGTCGGGAAAGGTAAGAGAAATCAATATGTTACTGTCAATGTTCATTCGACATTTTTACCTGTTCTGGACTTCAACATCAACATAAAAATGGACCGTTGTAAAAAGATCAATAAAATAGTAATTATTTATTTATTGATTTAAAATTTTTGTAATATAGATGAAAATCGACCTATTTTATAATTTTTATAAATAATAATAATAAAAAAAAAAAATAAAATAATCCTCCGTTTACAACGGGACTGTGTAGCCGGGTCGCAGCCCTTTGTTTTTGTGTTTTTTTGTCTGCCCTGCCCTCGCTATAAATTCACTTTCATCCGCCGAGCTCCTCACTCTCTCTCCAACTTCTCTCTCCTCTCCGTTTCAGAGCCCACTGCCTGCTTGCTCCAAACTTTCCTTCATAAACCCTAGCAGTCCACTTCTGTCTCCCAATCTTGGCCGCTTCTTCCTCAAATCCACCTTTTCTTTTCTTTCTGCTTCTGTGATCTGCTTCCCGAAAAGTAGTTCTAGTAACTTTGTGAGCTTCTTCATTCTTCGCTTCCAAATCACTGCCTATATTCTTCCAATTTCACTTCTTCTTGCTGTTCTTGTTCAATCTTCGAGGAATCCGGTTGTTGATTCCCCTCCTGTTGCTTGGAATCTAGCGCTGAAAAATGGTTATGGTGGAGAGTGAGGTCGCCGCCGACGACAACAAAGAGACCAATGGCCGCAAGTCTCCTTGGAAAACTACGGCTCTGGTCGATGGGAAGGAGATGGATGCTCCTGTAATGGGAGCGGACTCTTGGCCTGCACTCGCCGACGCGCAGCGGCCTAAAAGTCTTGATGCTACTACTTCTGCTAAGTTTTCTGATTCAGGCGAGGTTTCTGAGGAAGTAGCTCTTCAGTCTCCTCTTTCAGGAGCGCAGGTTAACTTCCTCCCTTATTTAAACACCTTGCACTCACATACAATCACATGGTGGTTCAGCATACGACTTGGAAAATAGCGTTATTGAAAATTTCTGTGATGCAACTGTAACTGGCATTCTCTTGAACTTATTTAAAATTTTTATCCTTGCAATGTCAGCTAGTTAGCGAGTTTCATTTTTATTTTGCAATGGGACTTTTGGATGTTCCTTTTCGGAGTTTGTTTTCGTCGCGATGTTTACGCTTCAATTGGTTATGAGACGAGCTTATTTCGTAGATATTCATTTTTATTTTGCAATGGGACTTTTGGATGTTCCTTTTCGGAGTTTGTTTTCGTCGCGATGTTTACGCTTCAATTGGTTATGAGACGAGCTTATTTCGTAGATATTGGCTCGATACTGTGTGACTAATATGAAAGGTTTTCGATTTCGACTTCTGGGTTTGGGTATTCTCATGTTTTCCACCATTTTTCTCTCCCATTCCACCACTCTTCTCGGGGAGTCTCAAATTTGATAAATATAATGCTACTTGACGACGAATCATTTTCACGTGAAAATGATATCTATGGAGATGCCTAACCGATGATTGTCGAGCGAGGCTTTCAGCGTCTTTTCGGCTATATTCTTTCTTCCATAGTATTTACTTCAATTTATTTTTCTCTTCTTCCGGCCATTTCCTTCATATCCCTTTATTCTGTCCATGTTCTTTATTTCTGATCATATTTATGAACCTGAAAAAAGCAGAAAATCTCAGCTAGTGTGGGTCATCAAAGTTCCAAAAGTCTCGACAAGTTTTAAGAAACTATCTCGACAAGTTTTAAGAAACTAACATTTATTATGTTACTCCTATTGTAATTTTGAAATGACTCCAGTATGTTTCACTCCGGGAGAAAATTGGTTATTAATATTTCATTGTCTTATGAATGTCTTGTACTATTGATCATGTGACATTCCCTGTTGCTCTAATTGTTGAAAGTCTTTTTTTTATTTAAAAAATAATTATTATTACTTTATGAGTGTTCTGAAAGATGAAAGGTTGGCATCCTTGTCTTAAACTGCATAATGAGAGCAGAGCAGAGTTATGACGATGTATGATATGCTGTTTAAAGAAGAAAAAGGAAATAAAGGAAAAGATGCTTGCTGTGTTAACCCTTTGGCGCTTGTTAATTATATCCAATTTATTTTATTATTCCTTTTGAGTAAATTTAACTGGAGGGATATGATGCTTTCAACTAGGGAGGATATGCACAAAGGGCACCTGCCTCTCGGAATCCTAGTTATTCACACAAGAATATCCATTCACATCATCAAAAGCCAGGCTCCAAGCGCAACCCAAATGGTCCTCCACATGTTTCTGTTCCATTACCTTATCATCAACCACCAATGGCTTCACTTTTTCCACCCATATTACATCCTCCTCATCTCGCTGTTCCTGGATATGCTTACCAGCCTCGACCTGTAGCTGGTGTTGAAGTACATATGGTTAAGCCTAGCAATGAGACATCAGTACAAGCTTTTGTTCCACCTGTTGAGCCTCCGCCCCGAGGTGATCCAAGTGGTTATGTTGTTGGTATTCATAATAGAAGACCTAATATGCAAGATCCTGGTGTTCATTGGAACCATGCTTGGTATCATCAGCGGGGATTTAATCCAAGAGACAACATTTCCATGCAACATGGTGCTGGACCACGCCCTTTCATGCGACCACAATTTTTCTCTCCAGCTCCTGGCTTCATGGTTGGTCCAAGTTTTCCTGGTAATTATGGCATCCTAATTACTTTGAGGTGTCTTGAGATATGTCATTCTAATCTTAATCTCCTTGCCCTTCTTTGTTCTCCAAGTACAAGAATCTGCCACACAAATTTTAAACTGCTCTAAGTTTAAATATGTGCTGTTATGTTGTTGCACTATAATAACATGAAATTCTCAATCGAATTTGTTCCCATCAAAGATCTCTATGTTATGCAGGACATGGACCTATGTACTATGTTCCGGTTCCACATCCTGATGCAATTGGGAGACCGCCTCATTTTATTCCACACCCTCTTAATCCAAGGGCTTCAATGCTTCCCCCAGATATGCTAGCTCTTCGGGCCAACATTGTAAAACAAATTGAGTATTATTTTAGGTAGGCCAACCATCAATCTAGGAAGTGAACATTTTTTTTGTTCAACCCCCTATTTGTTGAGAAATTTGAGATCTTGATACTGCTTTACATCAGAATTTCTACTTGTTAGTATTAATATTTTCATATATTCTATTTATTTATGTAGTGTTGAATGCTTCATTGCACCTGAGTTTCTTGGCAACATTTGTACTTAATTTGCTTTTCTTCTTTGGATGTGTATTTTTTTTTTATTACACTTCGATAAGTTTTTCATTTCTATTGACTGTAGCCACGATATTTATATTTTCATTTGGCCTTCGAATTCCAGTTGGAACAGCTCTTTATCAGCTCCCTTGCTGGTTGAGTATTACTCGTGTATTTGTTGCTTTCCACTTGTCTATGGAAAAATTCTGCCTTCAACTTATCCTGCATTTTCCTTATATCTTGGTTGCAGCGATGAAAATCTGAAGAACGATCATTACCTAATATCTTTGATGAATGACCATGGATGGGTTCCAATATCAGCCATTGCTGAATTCAAAAGGGTACATTTTAATATTTATTGAAGTGATTCAGAAAATGTAAATAAGCCTTTTTTTTTCACATCTAGATCTGTTGATCTATGGTCATGATAGAATGGAGCACTGCTGTACTGATAGGTTCAAAAGTTGTACCATGCCAATATATTATGCTTTTGCATTTTAGATGTCATGTTCTATCAATTTGATGTCTTATTCATTTTTAGCACATATATATATTTTATGTGAAAATCCGATTCCAGGTTAAGAAAATGAGCACTGACATCCCGTTCATCCTTGATTCCCTGCACTCATCTGCAGTTGTTGAAGTTCAGGTATCTATTACTTTGTTTTATTGCTTTATTGTTCATTTCTGAATTTATGGTGCAAAAGGAATTCTTACGAAGTATTGTATTAGAAAATCTGATGAACACCGGTTTTTAATTGATTTATAAATTTTAATTATCCCTGTTTTACTTTGTCCTTTTTAATTGGCACCCCTTTTCTTTTTAGAATATCAGGAAAAAAAAAATGGAAACTATATTATTGCCTAGTTCTTTTCCCTCTTAAATGGATGTACTTTCCAGTTGGCTTTAATTAATTTTCTAATCTGTTTATTTTCTTCTAAAACAACACTGATGCAAATAAATATATTTCAAACAACCTACTCTTTTCCACCTGGCATTTTATGTTGCTTGATTTTTGACATACTAGGAATGGGAGCACATGCTTCTTCTTCTTCTTCTTCTTCTTCTTCTTCTTCTGTTTGGTATTTGTCTTTAATTTCAATTCACCCCGTGAAATGCATGGAGTTAAAACCTTGAGACTGCAAGGATTTTAGTGCTGCAGTTGGAATGATGAAATTTTAAACTGTTGACTTTCTGCAACACTACTTTCATAATGCTGTCATGTTGAGAAACCTATCTAACTAGAATGTTGTCATGTTGAGGGGGATTTAAAATTCACAGCTTTGAAACTGTTAGTTCGACACTGCCTTTATTTACTTTTTGGTTTGTTTTTAGCTTTTAATTTGCACTTCCAAACTCTTTTCTGAACGAATCTAGAAATTAAATTTCTTTCCCATTCGTACTCGCATTTTAGATAGTGGGGTTGTGGGATGGCATCCTGGCTGCATTTTAAACTTGTACAAGCATCCGGTTTGTCTAATTTATTGTAATGAATCAATCATTTCTCCTGTGTTACTGAGGTTTAAGTTAGATGTGGACCATACTTAAATGTAATGAATGGAGTTGCAGCATCAGTTTTTAAGTTAGGTGTGATGACAATTAAAGATACCAAATTGATGCAGGACAGTGGAGAGGATGTGAGTAGAAAGATAAAGAGATAGGGGAAGAGAGGAGTGTTCATTTGTTGAATTTGGTGTATGAGAATCGGTTTGATCCTTTTCCATATGGATGAATTTTGGAGATCCAACATTTTGAGTTGATAAAAATTATGGATTGTATTCCCCAGTTTCTAGTAAGCTAATCACTTGGTTTGAAGTAGATGTGCAGATAGAACAGAGGTGACGTTTGGTGTTTTGCTAGGGATCTAAGGAAACCTCAGATTCATTTGAATTTGAGTTAGATTTTAGATGTGGACTTGAATAATGTGGACCTCAAATATAAATGTTATTGCCATTTAGCAAAATCATTATCCATAATGATCATATACGTGTACATATTATCCCTTAAATATTCTCTGCTTTTCCAGTACAACTGCTGTACTCTGCGTGTGCTAATATACTTGAAAAAGAAGGATCCAATAGTGTTCCTAGTAGAGCATATATTAAAAACGAGTTAGAAACTACACAGGCTTGTAATGAAGCAAATTTATTTTACTTTACTTACAAACCTCAATTATCTGTAGGGTGACAAGGTACGACGACGTGATGAATGGTTAAAGTGGATTCCAGTTCCTGCGGACTCTAAATCAACCTTAAATGTTGACACTCCTTCCAAACCGGTGGATGAGTCTACTAACTCATTGCTGGACAAGAATGCCTCAGATGGTAGTAGAACGCTGGCGTCTGAAGATAATATCAAATCTTCACGACTTCAGGGTTGTTCTCTGGAGCAATCCTCAAACAGGGACAACCTAGAAGTAGCAGATCTAGATATAGTGGAAGGTGGTAGTTTGATTTTTTAGTTTGATGATGGAATTAAAGTATTGTTATGAACGTAGTAGTGCAAGTAGAATTTAGTAATCATCTTTTGGTTTAATGCTGGTTGTAAACTTCTTCAGAACATTCTCATGGAACTGGGCGTCAAGGCATAGAGATTTCATCAAACGTTGATGCACATAATGTTGATGATCTTTCAGGCCAATTTTCAAGTACTTTCATGCTTGATGAAGAGTTAGAGATTGAGCAGAAAACGATAAAAAAAGATGATTTGACTTCAAATGGAAGGTATATGATTGATTATTATTGTTCGATGTTTATTTATCTGTTCTTTTTTTGTTGGCATTACTTTAGGCATATAATTAATAATGTACCCTTTTGCAATTTATTTGTAATCTTCTGCCCAGGTTGGGCTCTACCACCCCCACACCCCTCAAAAAAAAAAAAAAAAAAAAAAAAAAAAAAAAAAAAAAAAAAAAAAAAAAAAAA